CCCCAAAACCCCAAAACCCCAAAACCCCAAAACCCCATATATATCATCTCCAATTGAGCATAATTAATAATCAATTAACCAAATGGATAGACTACTTAAAAAGATTGAGCATAAAAGTAAGCAATAAATCACTATCTCTAGATTTAACAAGAGCCTTAATGAGAAATAAAAGCAGCATTATTGGTAGACAACAAACCCATCAAAGTAAGTTGCCCTTTCTTAATATTTTAATCAATAAAAATCAGAGTTTAATAGTCTATAGATGAACATTTGAGTAGGAACAAAGTCAGAAATTCTCTATCAAAGAATTCATTGAGTGTTTCCATGAAATTAAACTATCTCAAGGCCATTGAAGATATCAACAAGTCAAAAAATGAAGATTTTTCTCAAGCTCTAACCCTCTTGAATCATAAATTAAATTATCTTGACGAGAAAAATAAAGTTCCCAAGAAAGCGGTGAACAAAAAGTTAAAAGTAAATTCTTAATATTCATGGCCCTAGATCATTAAATTGAAGAAGAGATCTCCTAAAGAGAAGACCATGAACATAGAAAGTTCGAAAACAATAAATTGTGCTACAAATGACATCAAGAATGATTCTTCTTCCATGTTGCCTAATTTGGTAAACCTACTAAATCCAAGCACTAAAAAGGTGGCCAAAGTTAAGAAATTAAGGAAGGTTCGTCTGTCCCAAATTAACAATGAGTCCTCAACAGTAAGATCTACTAGTCTAATATCCCTAGCCTTCATTACCTCGGTTATCAGTTTCATCACAAAGTGGTATATGTAAGTGAATTTTCTAATTATTTTCCACCTATTCTTGAATGGTATTCCTAACCTATGCCCTTTAGCAATGGCATCATCTCAGCATGAAAGTGCAAAGAACATCAGCTTACTCGCTGATAAGAAAGAAATCACGAAGTCCTTGTTTGCCAAACCAGCCTTCAATTCTGATTCAGACCCCAGCTCTGAAGAAGGAGATGTGGCTCCAAAGAACTCATTGGGAAAACCAAAGTGGCTTGAAATTTCTCAAGAGACTCTAGGTGAGAGTTTATTTATAACACTTTAGAATCTCATCACAATTCCTCATTTAACGGCACATGTTGGATTAAGGATAGTAAAATTTTCAAAGAAGCCATCAGGCATAAAATGTAAGTTACCTATTTTTCAAATCTTATAGGACCCAACTCTCTAAGCTCAGACCAGCTAGCAGAAACAACATTTGCTCCCTTAAGGTAAACCTTTTTCTATATGAAATTTTCTGGAGTAAACTTACCCAATTTGGTCTAAAATCTCAAAAAAATTATCTAACCATTCTATTATAGCCCAAAAATGCCACTATGAATCTAAACAGAAGTATGATTTTAGGGCCGAAAAGAGCCTTGGCAGTAGCCAAAAACTAAAAGGAAGACAGCTTCTTTTATTTTTGGCAGGTTTTAGCCTATAAATCAGTAATTCAGTACTTTATAATTAACCCTTTGAAATGTATTTGAGTGTCTAAATTTGGACACATTTGGGAGTAACTCCGGGAATTTTTGAATTTAGAATTGGAGGTTTAGGGGTAGAATAGAGTTTTAGGTGAGTAGGGGGAGAGAGATGGGGGGTTGGGATGGTGAAGTGGTGAAAATGAAGGCATGAGGGGTTGTAGTCCTGGAGAAGGTAGGGAAATCATGTGATGGGTCTGATGTTTTTGGATTTTATATCGGTTTGAGTCATTTTTAGAGCTCAAATTCTTGACTATAATCTAATTCAAATGTTATTCCCTTTATCTTAAATTATTCTCCAAATTACAGACATATTTGCCAATTACTACACAAATCCTTAATAATCTGCTTATATACCATTCTTTTAATCCTTTACCATATCATAACTCCCCTCTAACCCATATCCCCTTACTCTATCCCCCTATCCTAATATCCCCAGTCCATTCTCAATTACCCCAACCCGATCCCTTAAAGACCCTAAGTCTATACTTCAGTTCTAATCTTCCCTCTAGTCACCCTTTTTGACTCATATTAAATCACCAGATTTTCATATAATTATTTTAGAATTTATTCGATACTTTTTCAATTATAAGTCCTTATTGGGGTTTTGGGGTTTTGGGGTTTTGGGGTTTTGGGG